CCCCCCCCCCCCCCCCACATACACACAAACTTCCACCTTTTTCAATTTTCTATTTCACAATAGTATACAGTATATTCACAAATAGTGTTCTCAAGTTTTAAACTTTCTATTATCAAATTTCCTCACAAATGCAATTTAAAAGCAAATTTCTATTTGAAAAACCAAAGGTGGTGATGATTTCCACCCATCCAATTTTTTGCAATATTTCTTTTAATGCGTCCTCGGAAATTTCTTATTGGTTACCATTAGCGCTTGCATTCTCTGAAGACAAGGCAGATTTCATAGTCTAACTTGAAACCGCCTCGAGTGATTTTGAGTCGCCACTGAGTTACAAAAAACTACATTTGTTGCTGACCTGTGCAAAACTACGGCTTTGTCCGTTTTAAAAAAGGAGTCAAAATAACATTCATGGTTCAAAATATGATTCTTTATTTTTTAATGGCCAACGAAGAGAAAAAGATAAAGAAAAAATAGTTGCTTCCTAAAAAAGCCAATTTAAAGCCTAGTATTATTTTATTTACTTAAATATTATGAACTAAAAAAATCCCATTCAAACAGAAGACACTCATACATCATGTTTGCTTCAAGCATATAATACACAAGTAGCATTTGATTGTTTGTTTTGTTCTGAATTTCGCGAAAAAGCTACACGAGAGCTATTTGCGCTAGTCGTTCCTAATTGAAAGACTAGAGGGAAGAGAGCTAGTCAACACCACCCACCGCTAACTCTTGGGCCACTTTTTTACCAATGAATAGTGGGATTTATCGACACATGTTAATGTCCCCACAGCTGAAAAGGCGAGCATGTTCAGTGACGAGGATTCGAGCCCACGACCAGCAGATTGCGAGTCGAGAACCCTAACCATCAGGCCATGGCAGGCCCATAGCATTTGAAGCGGAAAGCATGTGACACTCAAATTAGGTTTAACCTCGTTCAAACTGAACACGAGTCTTAGTGGTCGAATTTACATTGGACAAACATGTTGGAATTTAAAATTTAGGATCAAGGAACAGAAAAACGCGGTAGAAAAATACAAAGTAAATGAATCGGTACTAACAGAACATGTGACAGTAACATCTCATGTTACAGACTGAAGTAACACTGAATTGATAAATCAAGTAGAATTTAAAATTGAGTTAAATATCACAGAAACTATCGAAATTGAAAACACAACAACAAAGATATTGTATTAAACAGGGAAGCTGGTTCATGTTTAGAAATAATAAAGTACTGGGTAGATTAAGCCTAGATGGCGCTAAAGAAATGTAAATAATTATGTGGGTATAAACCTCCCAACCAGACCTCACTCGTTACTCCAGAAGGTGGTGTCATAAAACACCAAAACATATGTTGTATTTTTGTTTTTTTAAGGCAAGTCCTTGTTTTAATAACTATTTAATGTGTAATGATTTTAACGTTGTATTCTTTTAATAATATATAGTATAACACTCCTAAGAGATTCGAGAATAGGAAAAGAAACGTTTTAGATCTTATTTGAAAAGTACGCAAACATTGTTATATGTACACGTGACGTTTTAATTTTCAGTGTAAGTCAACTCGCTCTCCGTTATTTTGAATACAAATATCAATATAAAATTCCTAGGAGATTCTGAAAAGGGATTGTGGAACTCTTACTTAAAAAGTGGTTAAGCTTGGCACAGTGGTAGCGAGTCTAACTGTGAACCAGAGAGTTCGTGGTTTGTTTCCTATTGCCGAAAAATTGGGGTGCACAACTTGAGACTGAAGGTGCGTTATGAGAGTTTTGGCTAAATCCCACTGTTCGATTAGAGTAGTCCCAGAGTTGATGGTGGGTGCTGTTGACTAGCTGCTTTTTCTGTAGTGTCTCAGTTGAAAATTGGGAACGGTTAGCACGGATAGACTTTATGTTGCTTTGCGCGATATTCTAAAACAAACTTACTTTAAAAGCATGCGAATAACTGTGCAAATTTCAATTATAAAATCTGAAGAAAAGCTTGTTCTAAAGATTTTCTTTTTTACTAGATGCTTACCTCTTGTAATGCGGGCGATATGTTTGTTCGTATAAAAAAAAAGTTTATCTTGTTCTAAATAGTTCTAAAACAAATTTTTAACGCCCTCGTATCAAGAGGTAAGTATTTAATATGTGTTTATTCGTGTCAAACAGCGACTCAAAGGTTTCCTAATAGCAAAATTGTGTATAGCAATTAATATTTTCTGATTGTGAAGTTCTTTATTTAAGCATTTCAGAAAAAACAACAACAAATAATAAAAGATTTACTACTAAAGAAATTTTATCAATAGCAACCTACAGAAATATATTTGAAAAGATCGAGTAATTGTTTATGGCTTCTGAATACTTGATATCATGTAAACTTTTCTTTATTTTATACAACAAAGAAATGTGTAAGTGACTGCCAGATAAAATAGTTTCTGTACAGGAACAATTTAAAGAACAACAAACAAATTACAAAAAAGACAAAAATATACAAGTAATTTATGTAGATAAAATGTTTGCATATATATGGTGAACATTCATACTTTAAATAGTTATACTATTCCTTTAAATGCGCTAAAAACATTATATAAAAAGGTAATTTTCACTCTATTTATATTCTCATTCTTCACAATAAAATCTCCAATCCCATATGAAGTACTTATAATAAAAGTATGGCCCTGGAAACTGACCATAACTAGAAAAACATTATAATATTATTCATGTTGAACGTACCTTCTTCTTCCTCCAGTCCTCAATAAGAGTTTCTCTTTTGTTCGGGTCCGGATCCTCCTGAGGTAGGAAAATAATCTCAAATTTTGTTAATTCAAAACACATGGGAAAGATTTCTAGACAGTACACAGATATTGTCACATTATTTTCTTAATTTTTTGTGCAGTGTTTCCTGAAAATATGTTCACACAGAAACCATATACCTGAAGTAATACAACACTGGAGTAGTTCTAGTTTTGTATCTTTAGGTCATTATGCAAACAATTTGTTGTTTTAGATCGTGAAAATATGTTCACACAGAAACCACATACCTGAAGTAATACAACACTGGAGTAGTTCTAGTTTGGCATCTTAGGTCATTATGTAAACAATTTGTTGTTTTAGATCGTGAAAATATGTTCACACAGAAACCACATACCTGAAGTAATACAACACTGGAGTAGTTCTAGTTTGGCATCTTAGGTCATTATGTAAACAATTTGTTGTTTTAGATCGTGAAAATATGTTCACACAGAAACCATACACCTGAAGTAATACAACACTGGAGTAGTTCTAGTTTGGCATCTTAGGTCATTATGTAAACAATTTGTTGTTTTAGATCGTGAAAATATGTTCACACAGAAACCATACACCTGAAGTAATACAACACTGGAGTAGTTCTAGTTTGGCATTTTAGGTCATTATGTAAACAATTTGTTGTTTTAGATCGTGACTTCCCAACTTTATGTGGCATTTTATTTTCTAAAAAACCTTATTATATTCAGTCCTACAGAATTAAGTTATAACAGATATTTTAAAACGATTACATTTGTACAGTCAAACTTTTTCATCATATCTCGCTGCAGGTGCAACAAAAGATATTTTTTATCTCCTTCTTCGCATGGTTAATTATCTGTTATTGTTATTATGTAAAAATACTAAAGCGCTTAAATATCAATGTTTGACGGTACTTTAATGACCTCTATCGGGCTTAGGTATTAATAACAGAATCGTAAAGACATTCGGAATTATAGAGCTAATCAATATATATATATATAAGCCAAGTATCGGTCGGTCGATCACGCTCGATTTCTCCGAATTTCGTGAGTTACACGTGTCCAATTCCACTTTTTCTCCTATAATACTTCCTCTTTTGATTGCCCGTTCTCATTTTAGTTGAATTTAATCGTTAACGTAGGCGTAAATAGCTCCTAAATTTCGGAACATTTTATGCTATATAAAAGCCTGTCAAGGAGGGAGTTCCTAGGACCAGATCATTTATGGCTTATGTTTGTAACACCACATCATCCACATCATTGTGACGTCAAGCTAGGTACCATCCGAATAGGAAAGCTGGGAAGACTCCCGTAATCTAAGGCACGCAAGTGCATTCGCACCCTATCCATGCCTGTGAAAAATAAGTAAACAATTTGCGCAAATCTATGCTTGGTAATTATTACAAAAACCTTTGTTAAAACAGACTGAAGATGCCAATTATCTGTAAGGAAGGTAACGACTTTTCCTCAGAAGAAGAACAGATGTGTATGCAATCACATGGTCATCATATGTTTTAATCTTTTATCCAAAGGTACCAATATGTAACATGTTTGCTCAGTTATATGTGGTAGATTCAGGAGCAATATGTAGCATGTTCCTGGGAAAGAAAATTTTGTATTTCTTTTGTGTATTGTCAATTTTATACGAAATAGTTTTGGTTTCATTTTTCACGGCCTTTTACGCTAGTATAGAATAAAGGCCGAAACATTTGTACTTTCATAAATGAAACTAATGTTTATCTCTTCCTCATAGAAACAGAAATAATAATTTATCAGTACTTATTCGGGTCAATTTTATTACACGACGATAAAAATAACAACAAAGCTATAACAGGATTTTGTAACGAGTTTGACAGCAATGAGTAAAAACATCTTTACCCAAATTAAGCGTCTATAAATTGTTAGAACAAGATTACAGATAACGAAACCTTACACTGAACTGCTATTGACATAAGATATCGGCTAATACAATGATTATCCAGCATTAATGAATTAATAGACCACTTAAACTAAGGGTTAATCTTCAGGCATGCTGCATATTTAAGTGACCGTTTTTATTTTATCTACAATTTAAGTAATGCTCATTCTCTTTACATACATGTAAATTAGGTCACGTGACGTCAATATACTAACTATAGATGTGAAACCTTAGTTTTCTTTTATATCTCAAAAATGTTTTCAAAACAATCCACAATTTATAATGGATGTACTTGCCTTTTTTTTTCCTATTATTCTGGATAACTATTTGATATTTTCAACGTGAAGTGCGTTTTATACAATACATGAGCTAAATAGGTCCCAAGGTTCAGACATAGCCATCACTAATTTAGAATTGCTACCAGAAGTAAGGGCAACATGTTAGCAGTATCCACCGCCTACACAGCTACTATTAACCGTATATCGTAATTACAGCCGAATTTGCAGAACATGTATAGTGGCATTCCCAGCTCGAACCTTGGACCTTTTGATCCGTAGCTTGTCAAGCCAACCACTAAATTACACTCGGCTTTTGTTATGAAGGAGTGAGCAATTTTCACTGGCACACTCATATATAATCTACAGAAGCAAAAGCACTTTCACGTTTAACCCTTTAAATTAGTGTGTTTTATCTCTAAATAGGTGTGATGTGTCTAGTCTTATTTAAAAGTCTATAGTCATAAACATCGTTTAAACACAAACTACGTAAACTATACCCCTATTAACTTAAAAGCAGATAAAAATACTTAATACTTTCACTGGATACGTTAAAAATAATGTAAAACTGAACTGTATAAAGTATCCGAAATTCTCTATAAACTGACCTCAGCATCCTCTTTAATTCTGTTCAATATCATGGTCGCAACTTTCTTGTACTTGTTCCAGAAATTAAAACCATTTTCTTCAAGTCCAGGAGTTCTTTCTAACCATCGCTGAAATAATTACAGTAATAATATTTATAATTTATTTTCACGCAAATAACGTTACTATATATTCAAAGTAAAACAACAACAACAAAAAACGTTTTCAGTACAGTGAAAGATAAAATATTTATAACTTGGTTCAGCCAACTAGTCTCGGTAATACAATTACCATAAATGGCAACTGTGTTGCCGAAACTAATTAGCTGAAACAACTAATAAAGATTTTATTTTTAAAAAGAGTCGTTTTTATTTTTACTGTTAATATATATATATATATATAAGACTATATATGTTTTAGCATGAAGATAATGTTTAATTTAAATATTTTTTATGTATTAATCCTTGAACCATGAAAATTTATTGTTTTTACAATTTAGAACCGGCTAACAGACTTTTACAATTCCGTAAGTTACTGAAAGATATTTTCCATTAAGGTTAAAGTAGAGAATTAAAAATATATAACACTGTTTTTGGATAGTTTGTACATAGTGAAAAATACACTTGACAAACCATGGTATGTCCTGTTTTCAAAAAATTAATTTGTTTAATTTTGCATTAAACGATTACCCTGTGTGTACCATGAAAGCTAGGTAAGTTGTAATATTATTTTTACTAAATTCAAAATATTCTGCTAAACTATTGATAATAATAAGCACAGTTATACATTGTAATAATGTTTGTTTTGTTTTTAATTATGCACAAAGCTACACGAGGGCTATCTGTGCTCTGCCCACCAAGGGTATCGAAACCCGGATTCTAGCGTTGTAAGTCCGCAGACATACCGCTGTGCCACTGGGGGGCGATTGTAATCATCACAATTATGCTCTGTAAAAAATGTAATACTAATAAGTAGAATTATACATTGCTTTATATAAAAAAAATCAAAATACAGAAGTTTCACACAAAACGTGTGTGTTTGATGTAAACTATAATTTTATAACTTACACGCTTTTTGAAGAATAAAAATTCATAATATATTGCCATAGTACGCTAAACTTTCAAAATTCAATAGAACAACTTTCTCAAGTTTCAATTCTTCCGCGAATTAAAACAATCTTTTTAAAAGAATAAAACATAATTCCTGCAAGTCCTATTTTCAGTTTCATTCACTCTGGCATAGTAACTCAGTTTACACTCACCCATTCAAGCAAGGTCTAATTTTCAGTCTTACTCTGATTTATGTAGCTTAAATTTTACGCTCACGATTTAAACAAGGCCTAATTCTAGTCTAACTCTGGTTTATGTAGCTTAAGATTCACATTCACGATTCAAGCGAAGACTACTTTTAGTCTCACTCTGGTTTATGTAGCTTAAAGTTAAAGTTTACACTCACGATTCCAATTAGGCCTACTTTTAGTCTTACTTTTTTAAGCAACTTAAAAGTTTACTCGGGTATAAAAATAATCTCGAACTCGTTGCTAAACCCTTACATTAACTTATGAGTATTTCTATAAAGACTAACTTTATCACATTTCATCTAATAATTTCTTACTTAGTCGCTATATACTTTCAATTCTGGATGGTTTATGTTCAATTATCTATATGTATAAAATTCTCAATAGAGAGATAACAAAATAACATTCTAAGCCTAACAATCAAAATTTGAATCATTCAAGGACAAAATACGTAACACCTATTGGCTAAACTTGTAACACACCCATTTCTTTGAAAACTTCCCCACAAAATTATAATTTAGTGTGATATGCTACAACAAAATATTAATTACTCTTTGAACGACAGAGAAAGTTGAAATAAGAATAGCTAAAAAATACCGTATAAGTATTCTTTTTTGTTTCAAATGTGTTATTAAAGTATTTTGAAAAATATGATAATAGGATTCATTCATAATATGTGTAATTGCACTATTTCGATAGATGGATTAAAATATAATTTATCTCTGATAACATTAATCAACAGTTGGGTGAACCTCTGTGGAAGTCTAAGGTACACAAATTTCTCTTCTGATAGCATCTGTAAATAAAGAGTTTGGACCGGGAAAGATATTACGAGGTGAATCTGAATTCCTGATTTTGACTGAATGTAAGCAAGAAAGAGGTTGTACACAATGTAAACAAAGCGAAAAGTATTCTTATTGACAAAATCATTCAGTGACGAATGCACTGGACAGAAGACATCGCTTTAACTGGTGGTAATGATTGAACTTGTTAAAAACTTGTAGAACTTGAACTGGTTCTAGACGAAGGCTTTAGTTTAAAACGGTTACTTGTTCCAGACTTAAGATAATATAACATTATAATTATATATAGTATTCTATAATACTATCCCTCTCAGGGCACATGCGCCACCCACGTCACTGATTGTCATTCCAATAGAAAATAAGGGAACTTATCTGCTCAATAAGTCATCAATGGAAAAATATTAATATCCGCGTTTACACATTGTGTTTCACTTTACGACAATCTTTTCCATAAGAAAACGCGTGTGACATCATAGGCGTGTATTAGTTTAAGTTGTTAAAACGTGCCTTACTAATAAGCCCTACAGGGCTAACTATTTATTTCAACTGGTAGAGCATTCGCCTGGTATGTGACAGGTCTCAGGTACAAATCCGAAGCATATATGTACATATAGATACATATATTGTAAAAATAAAAATTACAACAAGGAAATGATCCAATGAAAGTATCTCGGCCGCATTCCTTGACCAACCAGCGTTCTATTCTTAAAGCTACATAAACATATATACGTAATTTTTTGAAATTCTTGGTGAACTTCAAATGTTCACTTTACTAACTAAACAAAGCAAAAACTACCACAACTTTAAAAGAAAAGGGTATAAATCTTCAGACTAGTAGGGCGAACTTGCTTCAGACTTTTACAACCTCTAAGAAAAGGGATCTCAGACTGTTAGGGTGAACCTACTTCAAACTTTTTTTTTTTTTAGTTTGAGTTTATTTAATTTAAATAATAATAATAATATTTAAACGTGTACACTTACTTATTCGGAGGGAAACTAATTTGTTTATATGTATTAAAATGTAAATTTTACTTGTGTAATTTCATGTGTGCAGAAGTCAGTTAATTAATACTATACTACCGGTAATTGTATGAAATAAGTTTGAACATAGTTGTTTTCTAAATCACGTCAGTATATCAAATCTAATACTCACCTGAACCAAATCACAAAGAGAAGGTTCGTTTTCAGACTGCATGATGGCATCAATGACTTTAGGGTCTTCAAAGATTTTCAAATAATGATTTTTCCCATAGTTAACTCGATGTTCCTATAGAAAATAAAAGATAATTAGTTTTTTACACGTATACTGGTAAACTATCCATTTTACTGTTTAGTTTACCCTAAATATCCTGTGATAATTATAAAAATAAAGCTAAAGCACATGACTTTAAAATTTCTCTTCCTTTAGATGGGTATATTGCATAACTAATCAACCAATAAATAGTTATTTTCTTGTAGTTTCAATTTACAAAATATATTCTGTTTTAAAATACATAATTTCTAATCTAGTCACTACTAATCATTTTGTGCCATAGAAAGAACACAAAAAATTTTCGTTTAGTTAAAGTAATTTATAACATCCTACGTTAAATTTAATGGGCTATATGTTTAAGCCGAAAAAACGTAAATGTCAGCTACTATGAAACTTGTTTGAAAAGAAATAGTATCACGGTATTAAGCTACATCATTTCTGTCTTATTAGGTGCTGTATATCGTTATATAGTATTGTGTACATTAAAAAAAAACTCCTCGATGGCTCAGCAGTAAATCTGAGAGCTTATAACGCTAAAATATTGATTTCGATACTCGCAGTGGGCTAAACACAGATAGCCCATTGTGTAATTTTGCGCTTAACAACAAACAAACCTAGTTACTTAAGTTATTTCGATATCACACGAGATCTTTGTTGTTGGTTTTTAGCATGACCATACAACACCAACTGATCATTATGAAATTATTTTTATAGTTTATGTTTGTTTCTATTTAAGCACAAAGCTACACATTGGGCTGTCTGTACTGTGTCCACAACGTGTATTGAAACCTGATTTTTAGCGTTATGAGCCTTCAGACTTACCGCTGAGCCACTTGGGAGTTATTTTTATAGAACCATAAGGTTAACGAAATTATTCCTTCAGTTTTCAATTTTTTCTTCTTGTTATTTGTTATTCGTAAGTTTAACTTACATTTCTAACGCCGAGTTTATTTTCAATAAGCCTGAATTGGACACTCTGGAACCCAGATGCTGGTGATAGATAGCTCCTGTCAATTAGAAACAGAATTTTAAAAGGTGACATTCTAAGGCAGAATTTGGAGAACATTACTAATGAAAGCTTCAATACGAACAAATCCTTTATGCACGTGCTCATTAGTCAACAATATTGAGAAGTTCTGAAAGGCCATTATTTTACCAATGTAAGACAATTGTTTTAGTCATTCTATGTCATAACGCTATCTGTAGCTAATTAATGTATCTTTAAATTACGATAATTTTTATTTTGTTTCATATATCAAAAAGGCTTACCACATATTTTTGATTTGAGAAACTGCCAGAAGCTGACGTTGATATAAACGATTTGATTTTACATATTGAATACTAAGTATTGAATACTTCTTGAAAGGAGATATGTGATATATATAGGTAAATAACGATACCTAAAACTAAAGACAACCTGTAATATTAATAATGCTTATTAAACAAGTTAAACTAAATATCCATGCATTGAGATTTGACTGCTTTCGATTCAATTCTATGTGTTTTTTCTGTAATATAATCTCCGTTGCTTGACCAACACGTTCAAAGATAGAACATACACACAGACGTAAAAATAAAACTATATTTTTTATATACTTCTATCTATGTTTTCTTCTCAATTATAAGCTTCTTTTTTAACATTTGATGTGTACAAGTTTTTCATTTGGATACATAAAATTAAACAAAAAGTTAAGAACACTTCCAAATCTTTATATATATTGTTCCTTAAAGAGGTTATAATTTCATAGTATATGTCATAGATTAGGCCACATTTGGAGTATTGTGTTCAGCCTTGGGTACCTTTCCTTAAGAAGAACATTGAATTGATGGAAATGGTGCAAAGGAGGGCTACTAGAAAACCTGCAGTGGAAAGGTTGTCATACGAGGACAGGTTAAGATCTCTGAAATTGTTTTCTCTTGAAAAAATAAGAGTTAGAGGGTATCTGACTGAGGTGTTTAAGATTGTTAAGGTAATTGATAGTGTTGATGTATCATCTTTTTGTCGCATTTAATGGTGATATTAATAGGACTAAGTGACACAATTATAAATTTTGGCAGGATAGGAGTCAGCTTTATTTTTCTAACAGGGTAGTTGGCCTTTGGAATGGGTTGCCTCCTGGTGTGGTGGATGCACGTAATTTAAGGAAGGCGTGAAAACATTTGAATGATAAGGGCTGGCTCTGAGTGTTATCTTTATTTTAAAATTTAGTGGATGGAATGGCCTTGATGCACCAACAAGTCCCTTGTCGTTCTTCGATTATATGTAGCATATGTATACGTAAGCATAATATGCCCTTGGCTTCTGATAATTGTGACCTTGCAGCGAACTTGTTATCAAACTTAGAAACTCGAAATTACAGAATTTTATTTTTATTTTTTCCTCAACATTACAAAAAGTTGTCAAACTTTAGTGTTGGACATAAACTTCGTTTTATCACTGTCACTACATTCCAACTGTATAGAAGTGGCCAAAACTTGTAGAATTTATCCGATAAATTATAAGATCAACTATTAGTCTAACAGGAAAATCATTTCGTTTTTAAATGAAAATTCATAATCTTTCACCAGCATACTTACCGAAAGTCCATAAAATCCAATGGAGTCATGGTTTCCAATATGGTCACTTGATCAACTAATAACTATTAAAAGGTAACCAGATTTGAGTTTGAAATAACAACTTTTTGTTGTTTGTTTTTCATTTTAATTTAGAAATAATAAAAAATCGACAAGGGGTGAACAGACACTTCGTTTTACTGACATGATATTAGAGAACAGAAATATTTACTTGCAATACAAGTAACAAAAACATTAACATTGTTATCCCTGTATTTAAAAAAAATATTCAAAAACTACAAAATATAAAAACCAAGATTAAGTACAAAGTCCGCAATGTAAGAAAATATCAATATTATTAATTATTTACTTTTTGTGAAGACATAATTTACTGCAAATTACATCTTAAGTTCTTACCACAGTTTCTGTCGTCACATAGTCCACTAACGTCTCAGGTTAATTTTATTAAGATCACACTGAAATTTTTGCAGTTTGAAAAAACAAAACTAGAAAACATATATTTGGTATTTTCAACCTCATCCCACCTCATATACACATAAAGTAAACAGCCAAATTAAAGACTATTAGGACGCATCCTAATTTTTAACTTCCTTACCAAAAGGAAGGCACGTAAATCAGCAGCAACCGCTGCCACAAGAGCTTTATTGGCTTTGATACAAATAAGGCTATTGACTTTTAATGCACCCACAGCTGAAATTACGGGACATGTTCAGAGGTATAGCGTCTCGAACCTTGAACCTTCCGATCAGCGGTTCGGGACGCAAACCACGAGGCCACACCCAGCCCAACAGCTGTAGTAGAAGACTAATTCGCGCACATTACCGATGCTTCCTTCCTCTTTCCATCTGGCATATGAAATGTAAACGTTTCTGAAATGTCTTCTATGCATAATTAAGCATGTGTTGGACGCCACCCAGTGCAAATTACTATTGCTGAGTGAGCTACCTAAAGAAGACTAGAATCAGAGTAAGGAGAGAGTGAAAAAAAAAGGAAGCATAAAGAGCAAAACTTAGTTTATAACTGTTTTAATTCGACTGCTAACATCACCATTATCCGCGTGCACAGCGAAACCGGGGGGGGGGGGCATTGAGAGCACAGGCCCTCAATTGTAACAGGGTAAGGAATTGTCCCTTTAATTGGAGAATAGAGACTTGTGTATAACTATCATTCAAAATTGCTATTTCAGTTTTGAATCTAATGGTCACGGTTAACATAGCAAATAAGGTGCCCCAAATTGTCGGTGCTTCCGCAAATTCAAATATGTTATGCCGCCTATGCTTATTCGATAATTGTGTTTGTTTTCATTTGATTATGATCAATAAAGTTGAATGATGCCCTCGGAACGTTTGGTGAATATACATCAAGGTCAGATTCGCAGAGTACAATGAAAGTCAATGAAGATTTTAAAGCAGATTCAAGCAAGAAACAACAGGGATATTTTGTAGTTGATAACTTGACTGAGTTTCAACTTACGTGAAAATAATCAGATTGAACACTTTGACGAACAGCAAAAATAATCTTTATATTGATATAAAAAACAGTGTGGGAACCTGCGTAGATAAGTGGACGATTGCCTCCACTATATCAGTGAATAGACCTTCAACTTTCCATACATCATAAGTCATGAACTAGTCACGATGAAAAAAAAAAAAAGACGCTCCTGACTGAATTCATCAAGTATACTCGGTTTCTTAGTACAGTCGATAGCATCACCTCGTAACCTTTGTTTTCTCGCATCATTACTTGGCTGCATAATTCAGACAACGTCATACTCGACCAGAAAAGGATATTACAGCTCAATCCTTTTAATCTGAATGCTATGTGCAATATTCTCTCGAGAAGAATAGACACTATCTACTTAAAAAAAACAACAAAGAAACGAAATATCGAAAACAAGGTAACCTTAACAACTTTCTGGACCAAATGTTGCCACCATTACAGCACAGAAATAAAATAACCGAAGCATGTTTAAAAAAATCTCTATATCACTAACGCAGGTAATAAAAATATATGATATACCTCCATATTAGAGTAACATCACTAAATATTTAGTTAAGGGAATTTTATTCAAGTTATCAAGAAAGTGTCTTTATTATCTATCCTGACCCTTATGAATGTTTTATTATTGGCGTTAATTTATTGTTTTTGTTGGAGTTTTTCTTCTTGTTTATTTCGGATATACTTGCAAAGTTACACAAAGTCCATCTGCGCCAGTCGCCCATAATTTTTAACTGATATACTATAGAGAATACAATAAGTGAACAGCACCCACCACCAACTATTGGGGCAGTATAATCGAACAGGTCTTCTGGTGACATAGCGGAAAGTTTACTGACTTACAATGTTAAAAATTCGAGATTCGATTTCTCCGCGGTGGACAGAGCACAAATAACCCATTGTGTACCTTTGCATTAAAAAAAAACTAATCAAATAGTGGGATTTGGCAGTTATTTTGCGATAAAGGAATGCGGAATATAGACCCTCGAATTAACAGTCTGGCAGTACACTCAACCCATTTGCGTTTCCAATCCAAATATTATCATTATATTTATTGTTTATGCCATGTTTAGACTTACTCTTTCATTTAACTTTATTTTAAGCTTGGTTGCGACTTACACCGATTTTTAAAATCAAATTATTGTCCTATCACTTTCTTTACACTAATCATTTATCTATTGTTAACTTATGCAGTTTGTTTTATGATTACCTATTTTGCACATTTTTTTACTTATCATACATTCAGATACAATATATCATACATTAGTTCTGATATAACTTGTTATTTATATGTTTCCAGTATTTCAACACAGGTATGTTTTATGGATTTAGAACATTCTGTAACTTTATAAGAACGGTTTGTGCCAAAAGTTCAGTGCCTAAAAGCAATGATACAGCCTTACCCTTAGAATGAGAACAATGATACAACTTTACAATTAGAGTCAGAACAATGATAAAACCTTACCCTTAGAATGAGAACAATGATACAGCCTTACCCCTAGAATGAGAACAATGATACAGCCTTACCCTTAGAATGAGAACAATGATACAGCTTTACAATTAGAGTGAGAACAATGATAAAACCTTACCCTTAGAATGAGAACAATGCGGCTGAGACGAGAGGTGATCGTTAACATCTTCGCTTCACCTACTTCCTATAAAATAATAATTATTATAAAAATAGATGTTCTAAACTTAAAGCGGAGGAGAACAGATCACACGAACGCGTTGATGAATATTACTCCTGAACAGATTCGGCACACCAATCATTAAATACAAACCCATGTGCCAGAAATACAATTCTTTAAAAGTACTTTTTTAAAACTACTAATTTAAGAGTTCAAGTTGCTATTAAAACAAAATAAATAAACACGAAACTTGAACCACATCTAATTTACAAATATGGAATCAAATAGGTGAAAATAAATAGATAAAGCAAAGCAACAATGTATTGAAACTTTTATTAATATTATTCATAAAGTGACAAATTCAACACACGAACCAGTAGGTTGAAATATCAAAACATTTTACCATTATTATACATGAACAGACAGATTCAGCACACGGACCAGTAGGTTAAAAGATCAAAACATTTTACCATTATTATACATGAACAGACAAATTCTGCCCACGGACCAGTAGGTTGAAAGATCAAAATACTTTATTGTGTCATTGTGTTCAATAGTAATACGAAAAACGGCATACATTTTTAAAGAAAACTTACCTTCGTGTTTAACAGATATCTCACAGAGTCAAGCTCAAATATAATCTGCTTGAACCAAAGTTCATATGCTGAAATTCAGACCAACGGGAAAATGTCAAACTTCGAAATGAATGATAAAGAAGTCAATGTGATTGTTTAATTTGTTATAAGAAAATGGTTAAAATGACTGGATTTATTATTTGCTAGTAAACAATTACTAAAATTACTGGATACAGTATTTGTTAAAAATCACAAACACATATATATCACGATAACGTTATGTATAAAAAAATATATTTTCCAAATTTATCATACTGTCGCATATTTAGTTCGTAATATACAAAGATACTGACACAATAACTAGAATTTAAGCCTAACTTTGACAAAATAAGCTGAAGACAATATTCCTACACATAAAATGACTCCGTATAATACAAACATTCGCAATGTATTTCATGGTTCGTTACCCTGATGAGTGATAATAAAAAGATGTTCGTCATGAACAGGCGTTGATAAAGTCGATAGGGGGTTTTGACAGCTAAGAAGACGGTCAACCTATTATAAACAAAGAAAACAGTGGAAGATGCGAATAGATAAAAGCGTAACTTTTAGAATTTAGCTGTTTAATAAATGTTTTATTTTTTCTAATCAACTGAAAACAGTGTACAAACAGGCTGTTGACAACTAAGAAAACGGTCAACCTGAAAAAGAATCACAAAAACAACACATGTCATAAAAAATGCAATTATGGAATCTATTTATTAAATAAATACTTTATTTTTCTGGTCAACCGAAAATAGTCTGCTAAACGTTTTAAGTATTTTTCTCAACAAAAGATTGTATATTATGAAAAGGTATATACATCGTGATTGTTTCAATAAAAGTACTTCAGAGTTAACATGCTGTTTGCGTTATATTCATTATGGGGAAAAATAGTAATGAAATTTTCCAAATTTTATTAATTTAAATATAAATTTAAAAAACATCAATAACACAGATTACGTTCCTTGATCTCGTAAAGTGTCCTAATCACAAAATTGTGCAAACTGCAATAGGATTCGTGAATATCCAGATCTTTGCGTTCATAGAAATAGGATAGAAGTTCGTTTTAAATTTTGAGGAGAAATATATTACAATATCTATTAAAATCTTAATATATATATGTGTATGTGTGTGTATTAAATTGAAATGTTCATTTGTGGTTTGACAAAATGTTACAAAGTAATTGGTGAGCATGTACAACCAAGTTATTTGATAAAATAACACTTTGAGTGATAAACCAAAATTTTATTAAATATAATAAAAAAATTACTTGTAGGTAATCCCCATATAACATTCCACCAGGGGGTACTTTTCGCGTTTCAACATTCGGCTCCTTAACAGAACATTCTGCCACAGAGGGCGATCTAGAAAAGAAAAAGAAAGCGTTCGAATTGGTACTTACCAAGAATACTTAATTATCCAATAAAGTAATCCTCTTTAACAGCTAAAACGAGTTAAATAAAACCAATCCAATTTATTTATAAGCTAATAAAATTTAATGCATTATTTAAAAAAAACTTACTTAGAAGTTTATAAGTGTTTGAATGCAGTGATTGATTATGGTAAAACATGAGGCATTTGTATCTACACGCAAGGGAAAACTGTAGTTGCCTTTAAATGCGTAAGTCTAAACCCTACTGTTGATTAACATAGTTTAATTGACTCATCCTAATTCAGTAACCTAGTATTTGTTGTGCACACTTGAATATGTTCCGTTAAAGCTTAACTTTGAAATTTCAAATACAAACATTGTTGGTCTTGAAGAATATCTGGATCGAGAAGACTTATTTGAATAAGTATTTGACCAAAAAAGGAGTCAGTCTTTGTACATTTTAGTTTTGGAACTTCAGTCACTGATTTTCTTGGAGAACACTATCACTGATATCAGAGGGCACAACCATTTACTTCATTAATTGCAAAAAGTTGAAGTTCAGCGTGATTTGGTACATATATCTTTATGGCCAATCTGGTGTTCTTTTTTTGTTGTTGTTGTTCTTCATTTGTAGCTAAGCACAAAGCTACACAATGGACTAGTTTCTTTTCTGTTTCTAGCAGTGTAAGTCAGCAGACATACCGCTGTGCCACTGGGGGGTTCAACCTGGTGACACAACACATGTTGTTTATGTGACGTTATTTTAGTGTCTACTGACAGATAACACACTACTATAAAGTGCTGTGAATGGTCAAAACAACTGACTCTTCTAGGTGGCCTTCGGCCTCTTTTCGGGAAAATATTCTGTGATTGTTCATAAATGCAAACAAATAAATATTGATATCTAAATGTATAAATACACTATTCGTTTACTAAATAAATCGACACCAATGGAATTAATTTTATAAACTAAGGGTTGATATCATGGAACATTCTCCTCACCAGGGGGTACAGGTGCACACACTACTCTCCCATTATCGCGGTTTATTAGATTTACAGCAGTAAAAACGTTCATGTTCTAGAGAGACCGTGGTGTAAAGAAATTAGCCGAAGTTACAATATCTTGTATAGCGTTCAAATCAATCAAAAAACAGTTTAAACTACATATTTGGTTAAATGCGGTTGTAACCACTTTCTGATCACACTACAATACCCATAGATATTTATCCTCATAATTAAAATATCATAAGTCTGTTTCTATATGTCTTATGACCTACACCATCGCTCCCTCTAATGATAGTTCAGTGATAAGCCTGAAGGCTTATATCGCTAAAAACCGAGCTTCGATACTCGCAATGGGCACTACAGATAACCAATTGTGTAGCTTTGCGCTTAACAATACACAAACTACAATTAAGGACTTACTTGTTTTGTACCGAAGTTTACAAAGTGAAGATTTTATAACAAAGAGCTCTAAAATTTCACAAGAGAAAATGGCTGAACAAGAAGAAGTGGTCGTTATTTTCAAAGTAAAAATAAAACAGATCCATGTAAACTGATGACACACAGATTTGAATAGCGCGAAAGAAGAGAATTAATGCATTAATTAAAAATTCAAATTATTCGAAATCTAACAATATTAAGCTTACTCGATCTTAAATGATCTAGAAATGTTTGAGTGAAACAAGGGGCCCACGCGTGGTGGGAGTTAATTAATCAGACTTGCTGTGACCATGAATTGAAGGAAGCACTTTTATGTTCAAAACTTGAGCACACCTTATCAAAAGGATTACGAACAATCGTCATCCAGTATCAGTTTTTTGTAAACATGTTGCTATTTCTTTATAGATATTAGGAACTGCGGTAGACTTGCCAATATTTTCTCGCTCTTTTGCTTTTGGAAAATCAAAAGAAAATTTTGCGTTGCAGTAAAAACTGTATGACACGATAAATAAGGCAATGTGAGTTATTGAATCAAAATATAATGTTACTTGAGGCGAATTAGCAGATTTACACAGGTGAGCATAGACATAGTGAGTTTATGAACTTGTAAATGTTGCAAGGGTTAACTCCATTTAATATGATTATGCAGTTGGTACTCATATTGTTAACAGTAGATTAAAAGAATGGTAAAACAAATCTCAAAAAAAAAAGAAACTGTAATTATACTCATATTGTTAACAGTAGATTAAAAGAATGGTAAAACAAATCTCAAAAAAAAAAGAAACTGTAATTATATTGAACCAGGTTGTTTCCATTTTGAATAACCTTTGTTGTGGTTGAAATAATGTTCTGCTTTCAGTAAAAGTATTGAATAATTTAATCTCAACAGTATTGTTGTTTGGTTTCTGTTTTTCCCTGCTGTGTAAACGAACATTTACATCTAGCAGTAACAAAGCATATAAAATACCATTCCATACCTTGAACAGCGTTTCGGCTCTTCTTTTCGTTGTTCCTCCCTTTAAATTTGTTTGTTTTTGAACACGAGGGCTATCTGCGATAGCCGTCCCTAATTTAGCAGTGAAAGACCACAGCCAACTCTTGGTTTTCTCTTTTACCAACGAATAGTGGGATTGGCTGTACATATAACGCCCCAACGGCTGAAAGGGCGAACATGTTTGGTGGGACGGGGATTCGAACCCACGGTTAAAACTTTTTGGGACTAGCTCCTAAAATTCTTTAGGACTACCAAAATGTACAATAATTAAATTCTTTAAAAACTAGGTAGAGTGTGATTATTGAAATTATGAGTTTTATCAAAATAAATTTCTAAACACCTGAGACCATCGGTGGGTCAGCGGTTAGTTTATGGACTTACAACACTAAAATTCGGGATTCGATTCCCCACGGTGGACACATCAGATAGCCTGAAGCACTAGAATGGCTGTAATCTAATCTCACTGACAACGTAGTAGAAATAATGAAAAATGTACAGAAAAATCTGAAACGTTGTTAGATATTTACTAAAAAATTAAATGTACAGTTGGTTGTTTGATCAAGATGCGCATATAAAAAATCAAGAATTGTTGGATAGTTTTGCAACATTAAGGGAATGATTTGTTATTTCTACAGATTATCTTATTAAGAAATGTATAAATTCCCCATTAAGTTGTTCAGGAAAATCTTAAATGATTTGTCTAAATCATCTGAATTTGGGCGGAAGTGATAAAAAACAGATACAACTGGGCAAGGTTAAACGTTTGAGAAACCACAGATGATGTTAGAAGGTTGTTTACACTAATGAGCTGTGATGTAGATAATGTGACAGGCAACAAGCCACTTTAGGCTGTATTTCTGTATTTTCGATAAAAACAAAACTCCAAATCTTATGACAGATTTCCCAATTCTCAGTTAATTACTGCCATCTTATAAACATGTTTTGAATTCACTAGCTTGGCAAATTGCCAAAAAAACAAACAAAAAAAACTGAAGATTAGGTTAGAAGAGAGATTATATTTAAGGAAAACATTCCAATCAAACTAAAGATTGGACTTAACGTCAAGTGAAGTGATAAAATAAGTCACCATTAACTTTTATGTGTTGATGGCTTATAATATTTTATTTTCAAATATAAATCAATTTTGAATAAGAAGAAAGAAACAACCAAGTTAAAACGCTAGTAATCGGGGTTCGATCGCTGTAGCAGACATAGGAAAGCCCATCGTACAGATATGAGTTAAAACAAAACAACCAACCTTTAGGTTTAGTATTGGGGAAAATATTAGAGACGAAATGGAACTTAAGATTTCCAAGAATTCATTTAAACCGATACAAAAGAAGAATATGAACATCATTTTGAATTTACAAATGCGTGTTTGATTTCCATCGATAATCGACTAATATGTTCAATGATTTTGTTTTTGTATTAAATAACCAACATTTTCCCTGTACTACTTGTCATAACTAACTTTTTCTGTAACTTCTGGAAGTTTTCAGTACTAATGATGGCATGGGGTTGAAAAACAAAAATAAACGAAGTGTTTTGTGTGTGTGTGTGTTTTTCCAGCTAAACTTAAAAGCCGTATTTTTTATTTTCTGCCATATTTTTCTGTAACTTCTGGAAGTTTTCAGTACTAATGATGGCATGGGGTTGAAAAACAAAAATAAACGAAGTGTTTTGTGTGTGTGTGTGTGTTTTTCCAGCTAAACTTAAAAGCCGTATTTTATTTATTTATTTTTTGTTTATTTTTATGTCAATTTTGAGATTGGATTTTGATTGTTTGTAATTAAGCACAAAGCTACACAAAGGGCTATCTGTGCTCTGCCCACCACGGGTATCAAAACCCAGTTTCTAGCGTTGTAAATCCGCAGACATACTGCTGTATCACTGGCTTTGAGATTGGAATTTCCATCTTGACCGGCACCTGTAGGGTTCGGGTGTAGTTATCTATAATTCTATTATCTCTAAGATAAATCGTTCAGCTGATTGTAGTAGAGATGTTTGTTATATGGTTATTATTGTACCCAACAAGCTAATGTCCAGCAATATATACGAACAATACTAAATCAAGAATACCTCTTTTTGCACACAAACACCAAAACGTAAAATATATATCAATTTCAGAAAGTAAATTATTCAAAAGTAGTTTTAGATGGGAAAAAAGTGACAGGGATTTAATTTTTAAAGAAAAGAAACTTTCCCAGACTGGGGTGTTCGAGGATACTGATATCCTCCTTCGCTCCGCTCGCGAAAAATTGTTTGCTGAGTTAATGGATTTGATAAATTTTGAAAGACTGATAATATTTTTCACTATGGCGGATATGAAGACTAGAGAAATATCTGAAGGGCTAGGAAGCAGAGAGAAATCAAGGCCAATAACGACGTTGAAGAAAAGAGAAGAAACAAGACGACAAACATTGGACAAAACACATCGTAACAAACACCCCGTGATCAGGGTCACCTAGTGGCTGGGATCAGTAAATCCAATGCCAAGACCGGGATCATTAAGTCCAAGTGACATAGAATTTGATGTGAGGGGAAACGGGAGTGCC